ACAGGACAGTGGCGGATATGGGTCGAAGTGTCCTTGGCGACAGCAAACTTCCTACACGTTTCTGGGGTTTCGCATTCGAATGGGCATCATGGACGCTCAACCGCTTACCAAATAAGACAAGTGGGGAAATCACTCCATATGAAGCACTCTTTGGCGACAAACCACAACTAGATAGAGCAAGGATTTTTGGGAGTGTGGCTTACGTGGTGACGGCACCCGAGAAACGGTCAAAACTTGAGGATAGGGCCATCCGAGGACATGTGATTGCTCACCTGGGGGAGAGCAAAGGTTGGAAGTTCTGGATACCTGAAACTGACAAGCTAATTTCCTCTGCATGGGCAAGTTTTGAGTATCTACCAGGGCCCCTGATGGCTAGACCTAATGATCTTCATAAACCAATTTCATCCCAGTTATCCACTGATCCAGCTGCTAACACCATATTTTTAGGAGATTTTTCCCATGAATTATCCTTTGAACAGGAAGAACGGATTGTTGACGACATCCTAACTAATTGCGGGTTTTATACGGTTGGAGTCCCAAACACTTTCAAACAGGCCAAGAAATCAGTGGATTGGGAACATTGGAAGAAGGCGGTGGAGGAAGAACTCGGAAACCTTGACAGGAAACAGGTTTGGGAGGTTCGAATCATGGACTCACCCAAGAAGGAGCTTGATGGACGCTGGGTTTTCGCAATCAAGAAGGCAGCTGATGGGAGTGTTACACGCTATAAGGCGAGATACGTGGCGAAAGGCTTTACCCAAATCAAAGGAAAAGATTTCAACAAGACTTTTGCCCCTACGGCTACTTTTGTTTCAATGCGATTAGTATTAACACTAGCTGCAGCTAACAACTGGCCAGTTCACTCTTTTGACTTTGTAGCAGCATATCTAAATTCAGACATTGACGAAGAAATATGGATTAAACCGCCTGAAGGGATGGAACTCAAGAAAGGTGAAGGATTACGACTGAAAAAGGCACTGTATGGGACACGACAAGCGGCCAGATGTTGGTGGCTTCACCTAAAGAACGTGCTCAGCAACCTCGGATACGAGGCAAGCCACTATGACACCAGCTTATACGTTCTGAAAGACCCCGGGAAGACAGGCGTGATTTGGATACATGTCGACGATGGGATAGTAACAGGGGACAATACGGAAATGCTGCTTGACTTGGAGAAAGCTCTTACAGGCCAACTGGAAATCAAGTGGAGCAATTCGATTGACTCAATGGTAGGCATCGACATTCAACGCACGGATAATTCCTTTGTTTTGAGTCAGGGTAAACTCATCCAGGAGATACTCGACAAACATTGGGATGGTGTGTCGACAGCCAAGACTCCCCTTCCAGCTAACCTTGATATCAATTCAGAGCAAGAGGGTGATGTCTCCACTAGCACAGCTTATCTTTCTGTGGTTATGTCTCTGAGCTATGTGGCGGTGGGGACCAGACCTGATCTTTCTTTTGCAGTGAACTTCTTAGCACGTTTCTCAGCTTGTCCAGGTCCGACACACTGGAAGGGGGTCCGCCACCTGGTCAACTATCTGGCTTACTCCAAGGAGCAGACGATGATTATCAAACCGGACAAGACTGCTGGGATTCTGAAGTGCTGTTGTGACGCCTCTTGGGGTGGTGAACATGCTAAGTCAACTTACGGGATATTTCTAACAGTATATGGATGCCCAATACTGTGGACGTCTAGGCGATTGGCAACGGTAGCAGCATCAACTTGTGAGGCGGAATACATGGCTTTGGGGATTGCGACTCGACAAGTACTTTGGGTCCGACAACTTCTGAAGGATATCACAAGGGCAGAGCACGTTGGACAACTATACTGTGACAATCAGGCAGCGGTGAAAATTGGGACGGGCAAATCTTCTAACAAAAGGGCAAGACACACAGAGAGAGAGTTCCATATCACAAATAGAGCACTCTACGAGAAGAAGACATCCCTGACATGGGTGCCAACCAAAGAACAACTGGCGGACATCCTTACAAAATCACTGACAAGAGACCCTTTTGAGCGCCTTCGTGGACACCTGCTTGGAGTCTTGTAACCATTATGATTGATCTTAATAGTGTTGCCTCCTATTTTGCGTGTGGTTTCTATTTTCTAGCTCATGTTTCTTGTCTGTTTTGTTTTGTTTTGTTTTTTCTTTCTTTTTCTTTTCCTTTTTCCACCATCATATCTTGTACATAGCTGTCTCGGTGTAGAGTGTCTAGGTGAGGGGGGGGGGTGTTGTAACCCCTTTTAGGGGTCACCATCTGCTCACTAGACACCTGGACACGAGACAGAGTATGATGTTTTCTCTTCTTCATTCGAAACCATCATCTCATGCCTCAACAGAAATCTCTAAGTGAGATATATGTTGATGCTAGGAGTGGGATTGTATGAGGAACTTGAAATGAGGGGGGGGGGGGGGGGGAGAGAAAAGGCCTGCTTATATACACTATTTACACAACGCTAGTGGCTCAACTAATAATTGAAAAAATGTCTAGATTGTGGTTGTAGTTACACCTACAGTATCAAATTGCAGGCATGAATTTTGTTGTTTTTGGTGCCAATCATGTCTTTTTTGTCCTTCACAAAATCTTCCCTTACCCCTGTGAAGTTTTCCATTTTTTTGTGTCTGGGTAGAGGGATGTGTGTAAATTCCTAGAAATTCCACGTGGACTCATGAATTGAAATACAGCAATTTATCCTTTATCCACCTCAGCTGCTTGGCAAGGCCAGCACTCTACTCCAAGTGTGAATGGCATGGAAGTGATACTACATTGAAGCTGAGATACTCAGCTACCCAGTGCTCTTTACCTTGTTGTCTCACGATGAGGAAAGACCTTGTAAACTTACATTGTTTCCAAAGATTAGCCAAAAGCCACACATTTTTTGGAAGCTCTCAACTAAATTCAAGGGAGCAAGTAGCCATAACTCATAAAGCCTGCCCTTGGGAATGGGGGATGCTTCGCATCGGGGTGCCCCCGGTCCCATCAGGAGGCTTAGTCAAGTCAGCCCCAGTACATAGCTGGCCAATTGGTTAAACTTTCCGTATTGTACAAACAGGATAGATCCCCAAAAACAGGACATATGCCTTACTTGGTTGGTGTTGGAATGTATTATGTGGCAATGTAACCAGAGATTCAAGCCCGGTCGTGAATCTCGTTGAGCATGATCCGTTACAGAAAAGGATGTTGTGCCCTCCGGGAGACCTGGCGTGACTTGATCATGGTGGACTATAAGTTGAGAGGAACGGTCGTTGAGGCTCAAGTTGAAGCGCTCTCCAGACTTCTACAGAGCGACCTCAGTCGAAATTGCAAAGAAGGAATGGGAAAGGTTTCTTGGCAACAAGGTCGCCTGTGGTAAATGGCACTGATTGCGAAGACGCAAGAGTCACGTGTACCTCTCTCGAAGGCATTGGCAGCTTGCAATCATCACCACACTTCCAGATCGGTTGCCGGCTACGATTGGAAGTCGCTGAATTGTACTAACTGAGGCGGACTGCTTGCCTATTCTGCGGCCTTTGCAACAAGTTGTGATCGTCAACTTGGCGCATCCATCAGGCGGAAATGCCTCGTGTACCATGCTTATAATGAGGCTGCCTGTGCCGGTCTTGCTCTTCCCACAAACCTATCAAAGCATACTGCGTATCTTTGGATTCTTATATTTTTTAATCGGTCTAAACCAACTTTGGGCACCAGTTATTATTAAGGGATATCCATTTTGAAGGTACGAGGGCGTTCTCAATTTATACGAGTTTTCAAGGTCCTGCTTGGTTGGCCAACAATCCCATCGATCCGTTCTCGGTTTATTTTTGTTAATCAGGACTTAACTGCGTTCAAACAAGATGCGTCTCAACCTTAGCATGATAGTCTTTCTATGGTTTGTAACTTGTGAGCCGATTTGACATACATACTTAGTCCCCATATTTCTGAATAAATAATCAAAACCGAAGCTAATCATACCTTGGGTTTTGCAACTTTAGCACGGACAGGTTCCGCTGTTCCCATACCAGAGCGGTTGAGTTTCGAGATCCCAATTTCCCGCTCTCTTTTTGTTTGGCTTTCATTCTCTTGATGCTGATAAGACTCTATACGTTGGTTCCGCAGGTGCTCAAAACATTCTCATTGATCGCGAAGGGCTAACCAATCTTTGGCGAGGACCGAAAGATCATGACATAAATCACCGCTCGTCGTTTGTACAAGAAAATCAATAACATCTGGAGAGTTGTACCCTATCTTGAGTGTCGCCCAGGTGGCAAGTTGTACTACCAAATCATGGGCGCCAATACCCATATGATGATTAACCGGTGGTTCCGGGCTTGATCACTGCATATGTTTCCCTATTTTTGAAACGAGCAGTACTTCGAACTTAACACAATTCCCTCGCCTTCCGGCAGGCAGGGGCGCGAAGCGCCTCGCACAAAGTGCGACCTTCCGTCAGGCAGGTCGCAAAACAGAGACCCTGCGGGGCTGCCCTCCGGGCTCTCACTCGAGAGGCTTTGTTAAGCTCGGCAATACTTCGCCCAGAAGTTTTTGACGACTGAATGAGAAATAAGGAAATCAATGTATAAGACGAAGCTTGGCTATGCCCAAATGTGAATTTGCTCGGCCTTAATACGGATCCTCCAATGGTCAATTTATCAAACTCAGAAACAAAGATAAGGGCACTTCATATTGGCCCAAACTCATTGCCAATTTCAATCAACTTCATTGCCGATGCAGAACTTTTAGTAAAGTTTCACGGGGGAATTCAGAAGGGAAACTAGCCGTCGGCAAGCAACTTGTCTCTGTCCGCCTTCATCCCAGCTATTACATTGAGTTCGAGTTGCAATGTTTTGGTAGGTACTACCAGATACTACTTTACACCCTAGATGCGTCTCCGTTATTGCAAGAATTATTTTCCAGAGATAAACAACTGGCTGAAAAATGGTGGGAAAAAAACAATCGGCTGGAAAATCCAATAACGTCACATATTTCTTTCAAGCGCGTTCACGAATCCATGTCAATCATGGCAAATAATCTGTAGGAAAGAAGATGAAGTAAAATTGTTGGATCAATGGTTAGGCTTTTCAAACTTCATTGATTGCCAGCGAGGAACCAACCAGCTTCGTATAAACAAGAATCGCCTTCGACTGAATCAAGTACCCAATCCGCCGTCACTAATCTGCGTCTTCTCGGGCGACTGTTATAATAACATGTCCATTTAATGTTGGACAAGGAAGAGTCAACAAAATCACACGGATTAACAAAAGTGATGGGGGTAGTGGGCTCCTTACTCTTTGTCTATTCTTCTGAGATCAACACATCTATGTCAGCAAGAAAAGAGATTGATCCATGTTTGGTAAGGATGGATTATAATGAACAGCCCGACTTCAGTTGTCAGGGATATTTGTAAGTTCATCAACTAGGATAAATATGTAAATACCTGGAGGTATCAGTCGGACTACAAATGATATCTACAAACATATACATGTCGCGCCAGCCATCAAGTAAAGTCAGGTCAGTTTAAATAGAGCATGCTGAGAAACAAGACGGTGGAAACAAACGTGTTGAGTCGGGATCGTTCACGTCAGATACGATTCGACCACCATGTGCTTTAAGTAATCGAGAAACCTGGGAGAACCTTTAATACCATTAACAAGATGACAGACAATGAGAGAATGTTTTCAGCATTTGACACGAAAAACAAGACAAAAGGAGTGGATACTCCAAGCAAACCGCCATATATGGTCCAGTCTTTTGAGCTTCGGGATACGCCTAAGAAAAGTCTTACAATTTGCTGGATTCACCATCGGGGTCAACTGATACAGTGTTACCAACCGGGCCTTCTGAAGAATGGGCAATCGGCTTATTATCCAAGTAAAATACAAGTGGATAGAAGATTCCTTCTTTGACTTCCGCCTCTAGTTTAGTATCTAGTGGTTTGTTTGGCAACTGAGAAGCATAAATTACATCATTACAAGGATGGAAGAACCAGTCAATGACTCATCCTCTGAAGTTAGAATTGAGAAACTGGTAACGTGGGGCAGATACAACAAAAATCTTACGGGTACATCTTCACAACCCAAGGGCTTGTCCGTTACAGATTCGGATGGTTCAATCTTTGCATGTGACAACTGAGGCGACTCATCGCGCAGATCATGGTCACTGACCCCGTCCTCAGTAGCGCTTGCATTTGGCCAACGATCTTCGGCGACAGTGGTTGCATCAGACTGCTCGTCAGCCCAGTCCTCGCCACCCTCCGAGTCACTTTCTTTCTTTACAACTGCTAAAGCACTGGTATACTGTGAGATGGAATTTTCAACTGTAGGTTGGGCCGTGTTAACGGCGTATCTACCAGAGAAATCAAATAAGTATCAATGGCTGGGCGTGATTGCATAGAATACACTCCTAATAGGTGATGAGCTAGTCATACGGCTAGAAAGGGTGAGACTCACTTGGGACTTGTGACAACTATCTTATAGCCTGCTTCCATTGAGTCATGGACCCACTGTGGATGTACCAATTGCAAACCGTGGCGAATCGCTTTTTCAGCATCCCAAACTAAATAATCCAGCGAGCCATTAGCCACGCAGAATAGGATGAATGCACCGAACAAAATCAGCGACTTACAATCTGTTCTCCGGGTAATGCAAAAATGTTCACGATCAGGTGCTGGTCGAGGGACCGTGTGAATGATCTTGCCCCCATTGCGGTTCAGCATTACCTCTAGATCACTTTTACTTTCAGCAGTGTCCTCGAGACCTTGCAGTACCCCTGTCGGTCATCCATTTGGTTCTATCAATCCTGGGTGACCAACATGACCAGATGCAATAATAGAAGAATGTCGAAAACTGACAGAATTCCGCCCCATAAAAGATCTTGTGGGAATCACTGCGCTTCAGAGGCATAAGTGAAGATGTCGGCTGAGATAATTCATTTCGTTTTCGTTTTCTCACATGGCCACTGTTAAAGGAAACTCATGTTCAGATTTGTTTTTACAGACCCCAACAGAAAGGGCTGTGTACCTGAGATTTTCACCGAGCTTGTTCTTGTCCTGTAACTGGTTTGCGATACCCAAGAGCTCTTGGTTGTCAGAAAGAGAACCCACCAAGAGGAGAGGGAAAAATATCAAATCAGCAGGCCTTGGCGCGTGGTACGATTCAAACTACGATTTGTGAATCACCTTGATAAGGCATACAATCTCCGATATCTCTCTCCATGTCGAACCGAATTGATCCTGAAATGGGAGATGGCATGAGATCCTCAAGATAAAGACAAGATATTCAAGGCGATATTCACATACTGGGAAATCGGATAGAAAATTGACACCCATAGGCATCTAGCAGTTGACAAAAGTGGAGTTTTTAAATCAAACTATAGTCAAAGTACATTCCAGAGAATGGCAATAATACGATGACTCACAAGAATTGATAATTTCGGTACCTTTTATTGTGAGCACAAATGAACTAGTTTGCAATACAAGAGCCAACCGGTATATTGGTTTTTAAACCTCAGCTTGCATGCAAGAATTCGGGTGTGAAATCTTACTCTTTCCAGTGCCACCAAACATCAGGAGTTTGTCCCGAGCCTTTGCCAATATCCAACCAATCAGGGTTGAGCTCTGGCCTTTTCTTATCCCAGTTGGAGTACTTTCCTTCAAGTTTGGTCCTGATGCCACACGAAGAAAAAGCTTCAGTCAAGAGCTGTAGCGGAAGAGACTTCCAACCTAAGAGCCCACATGATCTGCGTCGTTTCGTCAGTGGTGAGGCCTGTTCCTACTCTACATAGGGTTTTATAGCTAAAAGGAAGCCGGTCAGGTAATTTTCGAATGTGTTCTTGTGGTTATCTGACACATGGAAATGGGGGGAAATATTACCGGAAAATTCCTTGCAATGGGTCAGAGTTCTCATTGTCAACTAATGCGACTAGAAAACTACCAAACGTGCCTCCCCTCTTTCCTCGTCCCCAGAATGCTCCTGCCGATGTAGATATAAAGTCGGCTTTGGAATGTAAGATCCTTGTGACATCAAAGAGCCCAACTCACCAACTGCTAAAACTTCAAAAGTTTCTCCTAATTCATCCATGTAATCTGCCGATTTTTTGTAGTTTCAGCCCAAGAACGCAGTAGCGAGCTTTTCCATTTTGTTTAAAGTTATTGACCTGGCTTAACCTTATACCAATCATCTGTCCGAGCGTTGACCCGATATTTGGAATCAAGTCTCTTGATGATCAATCCTTCACCGCTGAATGATAAAATAACTGATCAAATCAAGCTCTTTTGCTATGTCAAAGAGTAAGAGGAATTGGCCACCAAACCTTTCTTCCAAGATTTTTTCAAAGCTCGCCTTGATGTCTTGCGTATCCTTACCCCGCACGGAATAGCAAAACTCCAATCTGGTTTTAATCTCGACAAAGACCCTCCCACTCTCCATCACCTGCCTCCTTTCTGACAAAGGCTTGTTAATCAGACTTGTACCCTCAGGCTTGCCTTTTCCCTTGAGATACAAAATATCAAACACCTTGACTTCAAAAGATATAAAATGTGCCTTTTTTGTGTCAAACAAACAGTCAACACACATTGGCGAGTTCAAAAAAACCTCACACAAGGCTCGTGGTTCATCCCGGTTAATCGCTAAAACCATAAATAAAATTGAAAAGGTATGAGGAGAAATTATAAGCAAAACAAGACCTCACGATGGACGTCCGACAACTTAGATATCGTAGGTTAAGGGCAAGGCAAGACTCAACAAGACGGCTTTAAGGACTTCACACTCCCAAACGGCAGTATTCTTTTCTTCTTCGGATCCCATACTAGCATTTCCCCGTCCAGTATAACACTGAAAGAAACAGAGGGAAGTTAATCAAATAGTTTGTTGATTTGTTTTTCTTGATTTTCTAACGGGAGAAACGAGACTTGACAGAAGTTCAAGCAAGAAGACTTACTCTTCGACCGCTGGTTTGAACGCACTATGAATAAATGGCGTCAGACAGCCAATCGTAGGATTGGCTCCATATATATCCGTATAATTTGTACCACTCCTAAAAGATGAGATATGATTGAACGGTGGAGCTTAACCTCTTTGGACTGATGTGAGATAAAAAGGATCCGAGGAAGATTGGACGGACCTTGACCAAAATTGATATTGTTCGCCACTCTTATGGAGCTGGATTCGTTCACCATCCATCTTCTCTTCGATCAAAAACTCCTTGTGCTTTCCCGAGAGCATCAACTTGACAATATCTGGTAGATCTTTCGTACTTCTTTTAGAAAGCATCGGTTTGAAGACGTTGAAAGTTTTCAAACTAGCTTGTGTGTCTTCCAGAGGAATATGTGTGGAATGAAGGGTGTGACAAACAGTCTTGAGGTCGGTACAAATGTTGTAATACTCGTAAGCATTATGATGAAAAGCACATAAAACGACAGATTCGCTGAGCCCTAGCCTGAGATCTGGATCGGATAATCAGAGACATGCAGTATAAGTCAATCACATCCCGGCCGCCGAAAAATCAGAAATGATGGTAACCTTGGAGGATGATCTTGAGTAGCCACAGGTGATCTTTGGGAGTAATTTTTTCGAGCCACGTTTTGACAATTTCAAGTCTCTTCGCCCTTCGGTCACGCGTCTTGTCAGTCTTCATACACATCTCATATCTTCGAATGACTCACCCTGAACGCGCCGTGGCTAAGGAATCCAGCTGGTCGTTGATGTCGTCAATCGAGAGTAGAGTTTTAGCGACCATGGACCGACTATCGATCTCTTTATAGAGCACTTTTGCAAAATCCCCAGCCGAAGACTAGATTGTCCGATTCTCAAAAAAAATATTGAGCGGAGATAATACAAAAAAAAAAAAAAAACGAATCATGAGCTGAAATCTGTGGCAAACCTCATTGTTGTTCTGGTTAGGGGCTCCGCTTTTCCAACTCAGGAGACGTTTTGCGGCAGATGAAGTTTTCTTGTCCAAGCTTAGAGCGTCACAGTACAATCGTCCCAGGCCGAATTCTTTCAAAAAGTACATTGGTCGGTTTCTATCATGCTTGAGGTTTTAAAATCGCGGCAAGATTTGTATCAGCGCTTCATAATCACTTTTCCTCTTTGCATATTGTGAAAGAGTGAGTCAAAGATCAGAAGTTACGAAGTTAACGCGTCAAAAAATTAAAACGAACTTTTGGTAGAAGCAGTCGGATGCAAGGATACAAGTCGTTACCGTATACCTTGCGCCACTTCTCGAAGAGTGCTTTCAAATACTTTGGACGATGCTTAGTAAGGGACGATACCCTCTCTTCCCTGCGGCATTCCATGGCATCGAGTATTCTACACAAATCGTGGAACGAGGGCGAAGGTCCAAGGGGTCGTAGGGGATCATCATGGTCGTATTCCTTCTTCACTATTCACACCGGATAAGATTCGTTGTAATTATCAGTCTGTGGCATTTCTCAGCGCGATGAAGACATTCGACAGACTAACCTGGCTTGAGCTCCGGCTCGTCTTCATCTTCTGTCTTGATGTGGATGGTCATGGATCTTGATTTCGCAGGTGCTTATTTTATGGTATTCACTTGAGATGAACGAATCAGAATGGTTGCGCCTCTTGTCTGGGTTTTATGTATCAGGTAAACATTTCTCTAAGACTCAGGTTGAAACGCATTGATTTGAACTCCAGGCCCCAACACCCAACATGAACGCCCGAGAACTCAGACAAACCTGATCACTTGTTCACTTCTCGCCATCCTGAGCGGTATCCAGGGCATGGGACTCGTATCATGGACTTGAAAGTTGAAGGGCTTCCTCATCGATGAGACAGAGTGTGTCCATGTCCATGTCCATGTCCACATGGCCCGAACGGGCCCGTCGACAACCTTGAAGGGCGCGGGCCAGCTTGTACTCCGCCCTACTCCGCCCCATGCTGTGGATGTATGCATATTCATAGTCAGCCACAGTTCTCCCTCGATTCCAAATTTCATGGGGTCCCCATCTTTCCTCCCTAAACTGCTCCTACATATTTACAGCTCGTTGCTTCAAGTCCACCATGGGATTCTCACGGCCACGATACAACCAGAAAGCAAGGTCACACAGATCTGCACCTCAAGATGAACAGAAGCAGAAAACTGAGCTCGATTATTCCCGGGTCGAAGCAGTGGTCGATCATGAGGAACTCGGATCCAGCTCAAAGCCGAAAACCATGTCAGCTGTCAACCAAGAAACTGAAGATCGAGGATCTATGTCAAAGAAGAAGAGGAAAAGGTTCGACGCTTATGTCCAGAAGAAATTGAAAAAGGAACGCAGAAATGAGCTCATCCAGGTCAGCTCCTCTCCCCGTTTGCAATTTCTCCATATTTACAACGGGAAAACTGATAGTTGGTGTGAACATATATCGCTTTGCAATGATTGGGCACACTGCGGAAAATTAGGAATTGGAGTCAGTCTATTTCGCAATCAAATTCCAAACGACTCCGTAAACAAATTGGGCAATAATTCACTCCGGAAATTGATGCATTTATCTTTACCCAACACTCATGAAACAGGAAAACACAGTCTTCAGTCAAGGACCCCTCTGCGTTTATATCTACGGCCCACCTTTGCTCTTCATCAGTTGCAAGAACCCAGAGAGAGCTCAAAGCCACTATCGCAGAGGTCGAGTCCAGGCGTAGAGAACGGGCACGGGGCTTGATATCCTCGAAGCAAAAGCTCCGCTCCGGTTATCACAGTCAAAGTGATCTTGAAGACGAATCAGACCCGACGCCCGCGACGAACCCTTTCTCAGGAGCGGTTGAAATTTGCAATGCTTCATCCGAATCTAACATTACAGCAAAAAAGACACCTCGTCACCCTCCAAAACCTACCGTTACATCACAACCTTTAACAGTAGCAGCCCACAAGGTGGCCTTTGGCAGTGCCCTTGCTTCTGGCGCCATAACTACACATGTCAAGCGTCCTGTCAAAAAGAAACGAAAATCTCACAAGCCTCCCACGGTTCTTGACGATGACGACGATTCCTTTGATGACTCCGAATCTTCGACTCACTCTAGCTCAACAGCATCAGATGATCAAGATCAAGCTCAATCATCCTCTTCAGGAAGTAGTTCTTCGAGTTGGCCCGAAGAAGAAGAGTGGACCGGGTGCGATGACAGTCTGCAAGTCGAAGAAGTGCTGGTAGATACAGATTCTCCACAAAATCAGCCGCAGCCCGACCTCCCATCGGAACCTACACCCAGAGTCAAGGGTAGTATTCGAGATTGGGCCAACAAGCAACTTCAATTAGCCGAAGAAAATAAGTTGAACTCAACCGTCAGTCACGATCTCGAGGTTACAGCTTCAAGTTCTCCCCCTGAAACCAGGCCGGTTTCAGATGTTCCTCAGTCTCAAGAAACGAAATCAACAAAAACTCCTCAGACTCGTTGCGGACCATTGGGGGCGCCTTTGGACCTACCAGAAACACCTTTATTCCTTCATCAGAAAACTTCTCATGTGCCACTCGAACGAGATGAAGAAGTTATCGCATCTCGCTCTTTGCTACCAGTCTTCGCGGAAGAACATACGGTCATGGATGCTATCCGACGACATCCAGTAGTAGTCATTTGTGGAGAGACAGGTAGTGGTAAAACAACACAAGTCCCCCAATTCCTGTATGAAGCTGGATGGGGAAAGAGTGATGGTGACAATCCAGGTCTCATTGGAGTCACCCAGCCTCGGAGGGTAGCTGCCGTCAGTATGGCCCGTCGAGTAGAGAAAGAAATGGGGCTTTCTGGCCAGGGAATTGTTTCCCATCAAATTCGTTATGATACCACCACTAGCTCGACCACGAAAATCAAATTCATGACAGATGGTGTCATCCTACGAGAGCTTGCGGCCGATTTTTTGCTATCAAAATACAGTGTTGTCATTGTCGACGAAGCTCACGAGAGGAGTATCAACACAGACGTCTTGATCGGTGTGCTGAGTCGTATCGTGCGATTGAGATTGAAGACGTGGATGGAAAATTTCTCAAACAAGAACTCTGGTCAGAACTCGGCTGGGAAGACATCCGATACAGAAATGAAAACGGGCATTTGCTGTCGACCTTTGCGACTGATCATTATGTCAGCCACCCTGAGGGTTTCGGACTTTACCTTGAACAGCAGCTTATTTTCTCAGCCACCCCCGGTGATCGAAATCGCGGCACGTCAATTTCCGGTCGCCGTCCATTTCATGCGAAGAACCCCAATGGACTATGTCAATGAAGCATTTACCAAAGCGGCCAAGATTCACAGTCGTCTGCCACCTGGCGGCATTTTGATCTTCTTAACGGGTCAGCTTGAGATTACAAAACTGTGTCGAAAGTTGGAACAAAAGTTCGGAAAGAAAATAGTCGAGGAGAGAAAGGCTCGAAAGGCTGCCCTTCAGTCTAAATCTTCCACACTCCCTTGTGCACAGTCGACCCCATCAATAGGAGAGCGTGACACCAATGACCACGGAGATACTCCGCAAGAACCGGTTACCCAAATGGACGGCTTTTCTTCTGGGGAGGCAGAGATGATCAACCTGGGTAAAGATAAACACGAGTTTGCTGCCGATGTTGACGAGGGTCAGGAATGGGAGGAAGATCCCGAGGCACTCGACACTGATGAAGAGGATGACCTAATTGTAGAAGGGGTTGAATTAGTGGAAGATAGTGATGGTAAATCATTTCTTCAAAGTATTTCTACCCGCATTCTCGCTCAGTATATTGATGCTTTTTTGACTTTTTGTTTACTTATTTCTCTTAGTGCCCATGTACATTTTACCTCTTTACTCTCTTCTTCCAACCGATCAACAAATGAAAGTCTTTGAAGACCCGCCGCCCGGTACAAGACTGGTGGTCGTTGCGACCAATGTTGCTGAAACATCCCTGACAATTCCAAACATTCGCTATGTGATAGATAGTGGACGAGCCAAAGAAAGACACTATGACCTTTCTACTGGAATCCAATCTTTTGAAATTGATTGGATATCCAAAGCTTCAGCTTCCCAACGCTCGGGTCGAGCAGGTCGAACTGGTCCCGGTCATTGTTATCGACTTTACTCTTCAGCTGTGTTTGAAAACTACTTCCCTCAATTCGCGAAACCGGAGATCCAACGGATGCCAATCGACGGAATTGTATTACAAATGAAATCGATGAACATTGACACGGTCACCAACTTTCCTTTCCCTACTCCCCCCGACCGGTTCGCTCTGAGGAAGTCGGAAATCTCGCTGGCCCATCTCGGAGCTTTATCATTCCCGCACGGTCAAAGTGATTGGTTCATGAAGGGCGATCCTGGGGGCGAGGGCACGATCACGGAACTAGGTCGAGCGATGGCTAAATACCCTCTGAGCCCTCGATTCGCCAGGATGTTGGTCTCTGGCTTCCAGTACGAATGTCTAGCTTATGTTATTGCAATGGTGTCAATCCTATCGGTTGGTGATCCATTCATACACGAAAGTGCGATTGATGAAGATAATCCGACCGATTGCCTTGACGACCAAGCTATTAATGAGACAGAACTCCTCAAAAACGCTGATTGTAAGGACCGAGAAATCCGTAGACAAAAAAGACGACAATTCTTCAAAGTGCAGCAACAGTTTGCAAGCTTGGGTAATGGTGTCAGTGATCTATTCAAAGTTCTAGCGGTTGTTGGAGCGTACGAATTTGGACAGGGTAACAACCCTTCAAAGTTCTGCCATGAAAACTTTGTCCGACCCAAAGCCATGGAAGAGATACACAAATTGAGAGCTCAAATCACTCGGATCGTTCAAGCTGCGACAATAGCGACTGGATTGAAAGTCGAATTCTCGCCCAAATTGATGCCTCCGTCCGAAACTCAATTGAAAGTCTTGAGGCAATTAATTGCATCAGCCTTCATCGATCAAGTGGCAATAAAAGCCAGCAAAGTGAAGTCTTGTCAATCCAGCTCGGGAAAATCGGGCGCAAACAATCCTAACAGGAATCTAGTTGCCTATCGGGCCATTGGGATCGAAGAGGATGTTTTTATTCACCCAAGCTCAGTTCTGTTTGATTCGAATGTCCATCCGGAACCTGAGTTTATCGTCTTCCAAGAACTTCACCGAACCGAGAAACGAATTTGGATCAAGGGAATCACCTTGATCAATCCTTCTTGGTTGCCCGTCTTGGGGAAATCTCTGTGCACCTTCTCCAAACCGATCGATAACTCTACCAACAACAAAATCCCTTCTCGTGCCACTGACACTGAGCGTAAATGCTTCGTGATTCCTAAGTTTGGTGGCCCGGGCCTGGACGTTGAGTTAGGCCCAGTTCAAATGACTCAACGCAAAGTCGGTAATCTCTGGGTTTGGGTGTAGTAGTCATTAATTTAATTTATAATCTATGTGGTACTTCAAATCAGCTTTCCTTTAGTCATTTTTGGCGCTCTCACCATCATCTGTACTTGTTATTTGTCCAGCTCTTACCTTTCTGGTTGCACGAAATCAATGAAAAAAATCTGGTGCCTCCAACTGAGATCCCTGATCATTACTACGCACTTCTTGAAATTTTACTACCTGAAATGATTTTGGATATAAACTCTGAGGCCCATTTCCCTTACTGTTGAGAAACATTCCAATGACTGAAGCTTCATCCAGAAACACTGTTATCTTTTACCTTCGGCTCTAGGCATCTGCTAGAATAGCAAGCATAAGCTCCTCTCTCTTCTTATTTCTCACTGCGTTGTTTCTGCACAAGAGACCCTCGGGCAGATTACTTGCCCCCTAAGTTTAGGTTTATTAGTATCAGCACTACGAAGTAGTTCCCACATCTTCATATCATGATATTCCATTAGATCCTTGTTCGACGGTGCCCACAGAAGAGAGTAGCGAAGAAAACAAAAGATTGCAGGGAGGTTTACGTTTATTTGAACATGCATGGACTCGGATTTCATGAAATTTGCTGCAGTCTTTTTTTACCTCTTCACACAAAAATAAACAACAGATAACTGGCGACTTTCATGACAAACAGATAAGAAGGAGTGTACGGATAAACGGATAAAGCCCATTTATATTGAAAGGAAGTGTCGATGATTATCGTTGAAGTACATTATCTTCTGGTAGCGAAAGCCTTTAAGTCATTGGAATGAGTTGCAGTGAAAGAAGAAGAACTGCTACTCGGACCTCTTATAGTTCTTTCTGATTTATCTTTACAGCCGACAGTCTCCGTGCCGTGAAGAAAGGTTTCTGCCCAGTCTGAAGATAGCCTAGTGCGCGAAAATCTTGCGGATAAAGGATTCATAGGAATCTGGTTCGCGACATGGGAACAAGCTTGGTCAGGCTTTCTGGAATATCATTAGATTGGACTGGGTATAAGAGAAGAAAAATCCAAGTTTTCCGGTTTGAAGATCACGCACTTCGATGTTGAGGTCACTGATAGTAAAGCGCCGAGACTTGCGGCTTCCGGAAGCTGCTATATCACTGCCATCTGTTCTTCCAACTTGTGTAAGGTTCATGGCAACAAGCTGGAAACCCGGAAAAGAAGGTAATCAAATGGGGGTTGTTCCTCAATTAGTTCTGCGAGTGTGCCAGTTTTTTTCGTCCAACAAGTTAGAGCATTTCTTACCAGAGAGAAGAGGTGTAAATTCCCCAAGCAAAGATCAATGGCAATGTACGACATATCTCTTTACAGCCGAATTGATCCACATAGAACAAAAGAAAATCATTCTTGTCAGTATTGGCTTGACGCGGACAGAATCAAATGGGTGGCTCTCAACTTCTTCATCATGAAAAGTCCCAAGTCGAGTTGGCATAATAGCCCTGCAATGAAGTGGGTTTGAGGAGCCAACATGATAAAACGAGTACACCTGCAAGTCATTGGAGAAAATTGTGAGGAACATTCATTGAGCACAAAGCAGTGGTTGTGAGCCTAGAGTACAATCAACCTGTTTGAAGAGATCAAAAAGTGAAACCTCACAAGTTTTTGGGAACCTCGAATCGAAATTTCAATCGATTTAACACTTGAAAGAGCAAGAGGTTCAAGATCGAATTCGAGGTTGATACAAAAATCAACCAGATAGGGAAAATGTATAAGCTTGAAGGTCGAGTAGGAACTGTGGATGTGGCTTTGATTCCTAAAATCTCCATAGTACGGCACTGAATCAAATGATCAAGTTTTTTTCGTGGGGAATTCAGTTAGCATCAAACAGCGTAAAATTTCCCGTAATCTATGCAGGTCAATTGAGGAATGCTTTTTGAACGCACCGCACATAAAACCAATTGAGCACAGGTCAAGCAAAGAAGGAGCACTGTGATCACTCGGAATTTTTGATCGGACAGTGCGTATAATCTGAAATGAGAATGTGATCACGTTTGGTTTAGCTAACAATTTGGTGCCATGGGCCTCGACACGCGAGATTTCTTTGATGAAGATGGGGGTCTTGGTGCCAAGGGAAAGCTTAACGTAGGATTGACACAAAAGCAGCGGACTAGCTGACCTATAGATCATAATTATCTGGACACCCCTGTGGTTTTCAAAAACAAATATAAGTTTCACTTTCCCATGATGAGCCCAAGGGGTTTTTCTTGTCAAGCTTGCTCACCAGATTAGAGCTCCACTAAAGAGAGGTGATGCAGCATAGGGCCAGAGGACATACCTACCCTCTAAATTTAACGGATGAATGAACCAAATCCAGCTGAGGTGATGTCCCATTGGAACAAATAACAGTAAATATCAGCCATGCCATGTGGAACTACTGACTTAACTGGGTGTCTCCCACTATCGAAGTGAACCCAGCGGGAAGGCTTGCCGCTCTCCAAAATAGGAGGGGCTCAGCTGAATTTGACTACTAGCAGGGCGGGTTCCCGTAAGAGAAACGTACGCACATCGCATATTGGAAAATCAAAACGTAAGCTGTGGCCACCACGATTAACCCGGATACAGAAAGATGCAACAGAAGAGGATGATATTTATGGCATTGCCAGTATCTCTTTGAGAGAAACAAGAAAAGACCCTCAAATGTTAGACGTTATTTGGGACTGATATTCATGAATGACCTAGTATACTCACGATGAAGAGCCCCAAATTCGCGCCGAGGATTATAGTCTGTGGGTTGGATTTAGATTGAGAAGTCGGTGAATGAATTTATTAGAACATTGAAGTTGGTTGGATACTTGAGAGGTTAAAACTTGGTTTAGTATGAATGAGCGTAACACTTGGTTGAATCCCCATAGCGTTGCTTGAACTGCCCCCATCCACGCACCATGAAGAATGTCCCAATGAAAAAGCTAATTTTTCCATCGTCCCAGGAAGAGGAACTGGCCGAATCCATGAACAGGCTACCAATTGGTCACGTCCGACAATCTCGTAATATGCAGGCTCGGTATGTTGGAAAGGTATTTGTTCTAGCCATGGCAGTTATCCAAGTTGTTGAGATCAGCTTTCAAATCTCAGTACAGAAAAGGCGAAATTGGAATGCTCATCGCTGGATTCCCAGAGGCTTTGAAGATCAAAAAAGTAATCACAATATAGGCAGAAAAAACTTACCGCTTGGAGAGGCAAGTATTGAGGAAGAAGGGAGCAACCGTTTTCTACCAGGGAAAATGATTCTTGGGGTATTTCAAGAGTTCGACTGGCCGTTGGGGCGAACACCAGTAGATTATCAATCTGGGTCTAAGAATTATTAGTTATCCTACATGGCCAATTTTCGTAAAGGTATAATCCTCATGAGGCCAGAATTTCGATACATTCTAGCTGGAACGAGTGAAAATAAGGTCGCATTGTACAATTTAATCTTCCTTAGATTCACTCATGATCTCTAATCCTTGTGGTAAAACTCCATCTTTTTGATAGAAACTCAAAAACAAATCACATTCGAGCGTTGTTGGTCAATTAGCTTGTTGGGTCGCGCCTATCCAGTTGCTGGTTTTTGGCGCTTAGAAGAACACTAGATGACAATTGACTGAAAAGCAGACTGGTTGAAGATTAACTTGAGTATGTGAGACCATGGAGATCATCACATCTACAATTGATGACTAGCTAGGCTGTTTAACAGTACTCGATGCCAGTCCGAGCTTACACCTTATGTTATATGGTCTCCGGTGGAAAGCAATCTTGGTCCACAAAACCTTGGTTTCTGCCCAGTTCAATCATCCAAATTGGAGACATCCATCGCGCCACCCCAACCAATTTCACTTATGAGCCAGCACGTCAAACCTCCAAGCAACTTGAACGCTTGATTTCAGATGAAGGGAAGTTGTTCACAAGGAAATTTCAAAGCAGCCCAGGCAAGTTAGCTTTGCACTCTTTGTTGTTTGAGATGTTTGACTGACCAAGGATCTACTGTTAAGTATGTATTGGACTAATTATCTGTAAAATTGCCCCCAAGAAATATGTACCACTCAAACATCAAAAAGACAAAGGAAATGATAAATTAGAGGCTGGAAGCTTTGTGATGTTACGATTACCCGATTTATGAATTTCAATTTTGAATCTCCTTGATGTTGATGGTGATGAATGAAAAATGGATGCAGGGGATAGGCAGGAATATATGAAGAGTGAGGAATATAATTAACTCTTGGTGGGTGCAAAGAATTCAGTGCTGGAATGTGCTATAACACCATATTTAGAAAAAACTCCCTAATGTTCACAGAGGGTCTTTGTCCAGAAATGCTTCTTCTGCACTGCTTCTGAATTTGGTGCCTACTCAATATCAGCAATGGATAGTTATATTTTCAGTTATCCATTCATTGTATTTTTGAATGTGGCTTCAATTTCAGTGAGCCATATATTGATTGATGAAAAATGCAAAGAAACAAGAGCTTTATTTTGCTATGATTGAGAAATCTTCCTAGTGTTAATTCAACCCTGTGAAAGATTATCCTTCAAACTAGACTCAGAATTAATTACCCAGGATATTATTTATGAATAATTGAATTTTGATTACAGAATGAAAAACAAGTCAGTTGGCCAACATGATTCCAATTCAAAAAGGGTTGCTATAATTTTACATGACATATGGTTTGTAAAATTCTAAAGCCCCCAGGGGTTTGTGGAATTTTGCAAACCATCACCCAAAAATATGGGTTGCAAGAAAAAAGGTTTGCACAAAAAGGGGCCTTAAAATTGCAAACAAAACCCCATGTAGTAGAATTTTGAGGCACATATGTTCAAATGTTGCAAACCTTATGTCCTGCAAAAAAATTAATTTGTAAAAGTACATTTTTGCCTTATTTGAAGGAATTCAGCAACCATTAGTTTGCAACCCATTAGTGAGTTGTAATTTTACGTGTTGCAAAATCGCAACAGATGGTACATAAAGTGGAAGTTTGCTCAAAACAATCAGAAAAAGAAAGACACAGCCTCCACAAAAGTAAACACAAAAACCAAAGGAAATCAAGGAAAATAGAAAGACACATCCTCAAAAAATAAAAGTAAAATGAGATCAAAAGAAAAAAGAGAAAGACAGCCTCAACAAACTTAACAAAAGGGGGAAAAAAAGAGAAAGACGCGGCCTCAACAAAAACAAAAAGGAATTCAAAAAAGAGGAGAAAGACATGCATCCTGAACAAAAATAAAAAGCAAATCAAAAAGAAAAGAAAAAAGAAAAAAAGACACAGCCTCAAAAAGAATAAAAGGAATTAGAGTGAAGTCCCAACAGTCCTGAAGAAAAAAACATAGGACACAAACATTTCATTTTCATTCTCATTTTTTTTTCTTTCTCACTGATTGTCTTGAAGGCCAAGCTTGTCCTTTGGTACATCCAATTCGGAAGAGATGAAATACGACTCATGTAATCAGCCACTTATATTGATCCCCTTTAACTTTTTGATCAGCTAATAAATACATATTCAAAAGCAATTATATATATATATATGTTATGATGCTTTTGGGAAATTTTCTCCAACTTCTTGGGCTGAAATCCTTTTTTTACAGTAGACATTCCTGGTCATATCTCACCTGATTTATCATGTTGTATGGTCACAGGGCCCAACAAAGGCTATGATCAACATAGTCTTCATTCCGCATGAACTACCATGAGTTGATGGATTGGTGGGGTCTTTATTCTCGATGGAATGTGTCATTACAGTTCACTTCTGGTTTATTTATATTTTGATTTCTATGTCCCACTAGTGAGATTACGGCATCAAGTCTTCTATGTACTTTTACTCTGATCACATCAATCCTTGGTAAACCCAACAACTTCAATTATAAGGTGGATGCATTAGTTTTGCTGTAGCTAATTATTGATTCAAAGCTACATGTGTAGATAAAATCAACTCCAACATCGCTAAGTTTCGGATCACATGAAGAGCAGTAAATGAGAAAAATATCTAGAGTTTTACATCCAGATGTTTTTTGATGGAGTCGACTCTAACGTTTTTCAACATGAACAGGACTGAGGCTGCGACATCTTGGAGATCCTTCTCATTGAAGTTAAAGTGCACAGGTGCCGGCCAGGGGAACAGCTCCAAGGCGGCCCACTTGCGTTCGTTTGCGTACATTTTGGGAAAGTGGTTGTGATGATCACAGGCCTTGAGGTATAAGAAAAGATGGACAAACCAGGGATCGATGGCGAAGAAGATGTGCCATTTGGTTGGGTTGAGTGCTTTGTAATAGCTCCCCAAGATGGTGATGGCCAGTTGAGTTTCGAGGGCCTCAAGGACGGAGACCTCTCGTGGGGCGAGATAGGCTTTGGTGGGCTTGGCTATCCACCCCTGATCAGGGCCTCTTTCTTCTTGCCCCAGGTCACGTTTCAAATAGTTGATGACCAGCGATTGGATCGGCGAGAGATCGTCCGCGGACTGTTCGCTCGGTTCAGCTCGAGGGATCATCGGGCCGGTTGACGGTTTGCTCATCTCGAGTTCGTCCAAGAACCAATCCAATAGATTATCGATCTCTTGAATCCGGATCAGATTCGTTCTGCTCTGTTTCGAAGATGAGACGATCGCCTCTGCTTGAGGGGTCGTGAATGCCGCCAGAAAGTCGATCTGCCGAACGCAGAGTTCGACGACTAATCCGCGTGTGCTTGCCAAGACATCTGATCCGGAAACCTGGCCGGATCCGATCAGAAATCTGTCTAGCAGCGCCGGCATCGCGAGCGAGCCTTGTGGATGATCCTGGAGTCTCCCCCATATCTTACTGCTCGCAATCCTTTCGATCAGAACTGAGGTTTTGGTCTGCTGGCTTGTCATCGGATACTTCAGAGTACGGATCCATCCAAACTTAGACAGTTCTATCTCCGAGATATCAAACCGATTCCTGATCCCAATCTTGCGCTTCAAGCCGCCTAGTAATTGTCTGCGAACCGTTTTGTAATGATCTCTTTCCTTGCGTTTCTTCCAGGGTATCTTACGCATGATTCCCGCGTCATCTTTGGCTAGCAGATTACTCTCAGAGCGCTGTTCATCCTTGGCGGCTATAGTTATGTGAGGAAAAAAAAAAAAGAAGAGAACGAAAAAGGGATAATGATCAGCTTGGACTTTTGTTTGACCGATCTCACAGGCCGATTTCACTTCTAGGGACTCCAGCTTACCGGGGGAATTGAGCAAGGAAGAATCGAGCTCTGCGGAAGGGTGGATGGCTATCCTCTTTATACTTGAGCTCGTTGTGCCAGCTGAGGTACCTGGGGAGCGATGATGGTTTATAAAATAAATTCAATATAGGAGGGTCCAATTCCTCGGGGCCGATTTTCTTTCTTCTGAGGATTTATCAGGCTTACCGGGGTATTCGGGCAGGGAGAAGAAGTCCCAGTTTGGGAGGTGAGGATTGAGATGGCTGTGGATTGAGCTTGTTATAGCTGTCCTAGCTGATGCGTCTGGGGGCTGATGATATGTGACTTCAAAAAAAAATCAAGACAGAAATCGAGGATTAATCGGAGGGACATCGATTCACACTGAGGATGAGAGCTTACTCATGGGGGCGTTAGGGAAGGAGGAGTCCCGCTCCATTGCCCCAGGCAAGGTTATATCTGGAGGCTCATGATATAAGGTGACTTAATTTAAGGGGAAACAAAAAAAAGATCATCAACTGAGGGGGGGAATGGCTGTCTGAGAAATGATGGTCGGCTTGATGCGCCTGAATTGAGGAGCAGGTCGTACCAGGTGGGGTGAGTGGGAGCTCATGCGCGGTGGTTTTGACTATATCAAGCAAAAAACAAAACAGTGAATATTAATAGGATTCTCCCGTGTTTCCTGAGGATTGAACAGCTTACCGGGCGAGTTAGCCCAGGAATAGTCCGAGGCGAAGAAAAGATGGTGTGCTTTCCTCTTGTGATTTGATGATGAGCTAGTCGTCGAGCAATGTTCGTTGGACATGACCACTGTGGCAGGATATTGAAGATGCGGATTTCCAGTCAACTGATGATGATCTCCCTGGCCAATTGTTGACCATGCATCGGCTGCCGTGGATGGGTGATCTGGGACGGGGAGCCGAGCGCTGGACCAGTGGACGGATGACTGGAGCAGGATGCCGGCATAGCCAATGGTTTCCAGCCGCTTGCAGAGGTACATCCTATGAGTTTGGATGGGGATTTCTTACAATCGGTCTATTAAAAGCAGGCAAAAGGTTGTGCTCTCACTCGATATATTATTACTGCAGCTTGGCTCCGGGCCGATGTCTTTCCGCTGTTTAAAATGCTTAACGTGTTGTAAGCTCGGTACCTTCAACACCCCATGTTTCAGATCTCAACCATATATTTCAACTCGTTTTGCTCTTTGTAAATACAATGTCTTTATGTTTGTAAGCAAGTAAATATTAAATACTTTCTTTTATGTACTAGCTTCGTTTGATTACAGCCTAGGGCCTTCAAATTCTTCCTTAAAGGACTTGAAACCGATTTGTCAGCCGGAAATGAGCTTCCCAGAAATTGGAGTATCAGCAGCCATGTATTTATGTATGAGGTGGCTGCCCTTTTGGAGTGGTCATCGGAGTGCAAAATTTGGAGTATTCATCTCAGCTGGACCAACCAAAACCAAAACCAAAACCACCAAGAACCACCACCAACACCACCACAGGACAATGAACACAACTCATGACCAGAAAACCAAACCAACCACCAACCACTCACTCATCCAACTACTCTTCGAACTACCTCCTCAACTGCTCCAACTGATCGTCATCTGCGCAAGACCGATCAACCTACTCGCACAACTCATCACGATCATCAACTGGTCTCATCCACTAGGACCATGGCCATCATGGACCCTACTACTCTCATCCTGGCTAGCCTACTCCATCCTACCCATACTCATCCACTATCGAATACCTAACCTGATCTGTCTCCTCATCCTAACCTACAACTACGCAATCACCTCAAAATCAACACCACCACATTCAAAACCAGAACCAATTCAAATTCAAAACCCTCAATTCATCATCTCCACTCATCCGCTCGCAATCCTAAACTCACTAGAAGACCTCCAAATCATTGCCGATCACTATGCCCAATTCTCATCAAAACTTATCCAGCCAACCTACGAGCTCATCAGTGGTAGTAGTAGTACTAGTAGTAGTAGTGGCAAGAAAGACGACCAAGAGACCATCAGGATCTGTCTCACCACCCTACCACTCTCGATCCTCATCAGCCAACTCATCCCAACCAGCACCATCCTCCTCCTCCTCAGCTCAACCCTCATCATCTGGTCATCCCCCTGGTTCAGACTACTCAGGAACTTGCTCTCCAGATCCCCTCTCCTGCTCCTCGTCTCCTCAGTCCTCGCCGACCTCTTCCTCCATCTAAGATTCCAACCCTTGATCAGATGGAATCAGATCATCAACCCCAAGAATCCTGCCTCTTCTCGCTCATTACTCTCTTCTATCTCTAACTCTCTCTCAACCTTACTTTCACTCACTCCCAAAGTCAGCTTTCAGTTTATTTATATTCTTGATTTACTCTACACTGATCTTTATTCTTTCATGTTTTGATAGCTTGACACAAAACACGGAAAATCAGATGGACTTGGTTCTTCTAGCTTAGATGGAACGCATCAACAGGAGATCGAGTTCTCGTTAACGATCTTTGAAAACCAACGATGGTGGATGGGATTGGATGTCCGTGTTTTTCTCTTTTCCTCTTCTTTCTCTTGATAAAAAAAATGCAAAAAAAAACACACTAAATGACGTCATTGTAATAAAAAAACAGTGGACGCCAAATCTGTTACCACATGAGCGGCCGAACTGGACGGATGCGATGAACCAAGCGGTCCCCTCACCGACGAACATCAAGTTGCCCGAGGGGATGCGATATGCAGAAAAGAGCTTGGAAGAGAGGCCGGCCAAAGAGCGGATAGTAGAATGGAGCTGGGTGGATCCGGAGTGGAAGATCGTCGACCAAAGCAGTCTGACCCAGCCGGACTTCCTGATCAGCGACCCGACTCCATCTTCGTCTTCGTTGTTGTCGTCGACCACCACCACCACCACGACGACGACGACGATCAAACTCAACCCGAGCCCTTCTTCATCCATCGAACAATCGACCTCCCCGCGTCTTCTTTCTGCTACCCCGCCTCCCCAAAGCCCCGAGGTCGCTGGCTCGCGGAGACTTCATAATCGGTCCGCCTCCGATCATCTCGGATCCCCCTCGGTCCATTCGGTCGACTCTGAAATCCTCATCGAGTCCTTACGTAGCTCAGGCTTGGGCATCGGCGTCGTTAATGGATCACCTTCGAATCCCAATACTATTACGCCCACTTCTTGGGAAGTCGATGCGAATGGTACATAATCTTACTCGCCCCCCCCCCTTTCTCTTCACACGTTTCAGAAAAAAAAAACAAGAACACTGATTCTGGTATTTTTGCAATGTTTTTTTCTGTTTGTTTGATAGGATGGCAATATGGCGATAATCATTGGGAGAAGATGAGCAAAAAGTCGGGCATAGGCAGATACACGAGACGGCGCGCCTGGACGCGCAAAGCGCGGCTTCGCACCACCATTCTCTCTGTCCAACCAGCCCCTGAGATTTCCCCCTCGTCTTCCCCTTCTTCCTCATCCTCCTCATCTTCTCATAGTCACAATGATGGGAACGGACTCGGATCGACGGCGTCAATCGATGATCATGCTCTCCCACTCTCTTCTGATTCTCCTACTAGTGATCCTTCTTCTTCTGCTCCTTCTCCTAGCACCATCGACGCTTCAACTGTCACTACTTCTACTATCATCAATCCTTCTTCTTCTTCAGCTGCATCTACTACGGCTACTACTGCTCTTTCTCTTAATCTTAAACGCTCCTTGGGCCTTCTGAGACGTAAATAAATCTTTTGTCTTTTACGTTTTTTTTTGGTTTGTGACAGTTTCCTTTTTGTTGTTTTACTCTGTCCTAGTTTTCTTTTAATATACAATGTATGTATACAATAGATTAGTTGTTTTAACCATCTTTCGCTTTCGACTCTTTGCTTGGTTTGTTGATTTATTTTGTCGATATGTTCATCTTTTTCCAACAAAAAAGTTCTTTCTAGTATCACATGATGTATGTATCTTTCCTCAAAAAACCTCAAACCAAATAAAATTCCAAACTAAATCAAGCTACATAACTTTTACTTGTGCAACTCAGTAGGTCTTGGTCTCCTTGATTGTTTAATGTGTTATCTACATTCAAGGCTACTTATCAAAAGCGGTTTTGTGATGAATCCAATTTCTGGAGCTTGGAATTCACTGGGTGTGTCGTTTGATGTCGACCGGTTTTGTTGTGTTCAATCTGAAGGTCATGTATTACATATGTAGCAGCGTTCATGATCATCATTTGTCAATTTGTGGAGCCCATTTTATTATATGGCCTTGATTAATCAACAACATTTTTTTAAAAAAAAATCCACATAATTTTTTTTTGATTTTTGAATCAATAAGTAAGTATTGATAAGTAGCTTAGAATCGGCTTTCAAATTTGATGGATTGCATTCTTCAGCCCCGCTATTAGAATTAGATAGAGAGAGCATGTAAATGTGACAGTCCCACACTTAAAAAAAGAATATGGGATACCGGATTCAAAGAGCATGCAAATGTGACAGTCCCACACTCAAAAAAGAATATGGGACACCGGAATCAATCAGGGATGCTGACGATTTAACTTGATTGATTATTCTTCTACTTTTTTTTATTCAGTTTAGGTTTTTTTTTTGGAGGGGTTTCTTCCAAAAGTAATCCATGTTTTTTTTTTTTTCATTTAGCTGACTGGACTGTAGCGAAAATGTGATGTGGTTCCATCGGCTGGCATTTTTGTGATGTGATTTTGAGGAACGGGAGGATCGAGAGAGCCGGAGGACTTGATCAAAGGACACAATTAAGAAATAGATGGAAGAGTTCAGAAACGGATGGTGTCAGATGAACAGACGGTTCTGAGGGTGCGCTTTATGCGGTTGCTGGATTACTCTTGCGATAACTATGAAATGGCAAAATCAAGTAAGGTTTGAATCAAGTGCTCGAAATCTGATGAGGATGTTTTTGAAAAGAGATGTGTCTTACTCCCAAATCCGATACAGTTGTGCCAGACCAGTAGCCGCGACGAAGGTGTTAACACTAGCTAACGAGTAGTTGATCGGAGTTATCTACAATGATGATGATGATCGGATGATCGGGAGTATTGAAAATGGAGAGAGAGAGAAAATACGTTAGTAGCTGAATCGTATTTCCTTTTGCTTGTTTGTCTCTTTGAGTCTCCTCGTCCGCCCGTCGATCAGAGTTGTTTTCGGGTAGATAGCCTGTTCTGGGGTTTATACAAACGCACCACAAATGAGTATCTGATCCAAATCAATCCGGTCGCCGATAAAGCTATGCAGACCGGGAGAACAAAAACCAGACTCAGAATCTCTCAAACAGCCAATATAAATCCGTCGGTTATCTCTGCCTCCGGACGGCCACCACTCCTTTGAGAGTAAATCAAAACTGATCAAGAAGAAGAATGTAAACAAAAGTCTTACCGATGTTTTGAGATAACGAGAGCTTCTCAGCTGGCCTACTCAGGTCTTTGACACCAGCAATAACAAGGCCCCATTTGAACATCGGAGCCCAAAAGAAGATGGTTCTGTGCCAAATCGGTCCAGGAAAGAAGAAAAAAAAATCGATCGAAACCATCAGAACCACGCCCAATGATTTGTGTTTTCGCTTGTGAGTTCAATCGATTTCTCTTGTTTATGGGCTTGAAAGTATAGAATTAACGACTGACTTTGGTCCTAGATCGATCCATTTAAACCAATAATAAATCAGTCATCCAGTTGGTTTTTTTTTTCAGTTTGGTATTTCAGGTGAGAAGAGAGAAAGAGAGCTGAAGGACTCAACCAGCAGGATGGTTCAAGAAGCTTGTGAGCTTGCTTTGGACGGGTGCGGTAGCCATCTTTGAGTGTGGAGCTGCCAGATGGAATGAGGATACAAAGTTGAAGATGCCTTTGATTGGGGTAAACCGGACTGCAGAGCACGAATCTTGCTCGCTGGTGTTGTGGGAAGTTCGCGACCGACGGATTGGGTATGTAGCGCATTGATCCGAGGATCCGGCGGATCGACATTTTTATAGTGCTCATGACAGCTGTTCATCCAGCAGCATCGCCATTCTCAAAAACTGCAAGTCACGACCCCCCCCCCCCCCATCCCACAAAGCGTGAGGGGTGCTCAAAAAAAAGATAATAGTAATGGATGGCTAACTTTGGGAGTCGGCCATCCATTTTGAGGAACAACTCCCTGCAAGGGACGTCCATCAGTGGTATTTGGTGGTTGTCAACAAATGCTTGGGAGTTGTTTTTCTAAGGCCCCAAGAATTCATAAGAAGAGATCTGAGGATATCACATCAAGATCAGTCTTTTTTTTTCTGTAAATTGCCACCCGTGAAGCTCACTGTAAAAAAAAAAAAAATCAATCAACTACCCCCTGGAACCAGTTGACATTACAGATCATCCAGCATCACATCAAATTTGGTGGAAATTACACAGGACCCAAGAAACCCCCTCTAGACCACAGTAACAAAAACATACGAATATTTGGTCAAAAAATCCAAAATCATAAGCAAAACAGTGGTATGAATTTTTCTGGGCACCCAAAATGGTACTCCGAAAACCTGGTTTAAATCAACGGTGGGCCAGCTACGCTAACTGTAGCGTAGCAAAAAAGCGCTACAATGTAGCGTAGCGTTAGCGCATTTTTCAATTTCTGCGCTAATGCTACGCGCACGGGGGAAAAATTTGCGCTAACGTTTGGTGTAGCGTTAGCGCAATTCCCCCATGGCCCCCAATGTAAACACTGGCGTTTTGGTGACTGTGGTCTATAAGGGGTCTCCTGGGTCCTGACTGCACTTAAACATGCCAAAAAGTAAGGTTCAAATCCTCACCCTGAAGATTTGAAGCGACCTGATTGGGTCACAGAAAAATCCAGGAGATTCCCCAGTATATTCCAATCAAATATTTTACATGTCAAAATCTGCCCTTTATGGCAGAAATTGGGGGGTCTTTTAGGGGTTTTGGACTTTTTTTTGTCTAGCATTTATTTCACTCAAATAAAAAAGGTAGTCGTGGGAGGTTTTGCTTGGTACTTGCAGATTTGTTGGTTACCTGGTGTTGGAGCTGGATATGCCAGGTTCAGATGTTGGGTCAAAACCTTAGTGTCAAAAACAAAACTTTTTTTAACATGTCACTGTGCACATAATTAGAAACTACATAAATATCCATTGGATCCAGGTTTAGATAAACTTTGAGTAACAAACAAGCTTTTTCAGATCCCCAGAGTATCAACTGGTGGCAGTTGAGCAAGTTTTTCTTGTAGTGCTGCACTGGCAATCTTACCAAAATTTGAGATGAGGTGATTTGCACAATTCCTCAATATCTATGTTGAGCAAGTTTTTCTTGGAATGCTGCACTGGCAATCTTACCAAACTTTGAGATGAGGTGATTAATATTTATGAGTTATGTGGATAGCCCTCAGTGGCACAGTACAGGACCACAGAATGCCTCCTCAAGACTATCAAACCTTTTATGTTTGAAAAATTATCCTTCATTGTTGCCCTGGACCTTTTGAAGGTTAGTACAAGCATACTCATGAAACTCAAACAGGTATTGATCAATGGTTAAAAAAAACAGGTCTCCCAAGATCTGGACATTTTTATTATCTGCCTTCAGGTTGCTTGCCATGGTCCCCTGAGAATGCATCTAGGTAAATCATGATGTTTCCTTGGAGCTGAGATTTCTGCTGGTTGAGAGCCACCGGTGTCCCCCACCTTTGTATTGGAGTATTGCCACCCAGTCCTGTGGTTTTTTTATCATCACCTTTCATGTGCACCTGAATTTGCTAAACAAAATGAAGTATTACATGAGCCAGAAAGAGTTTCACTACTTCAAGCTAACATGAGATTTCAGTTCTACATTTTCTTGATGTGTCAGTTCTTTTGGCCATTTGAAACCCTTCATCCAAATGCTTACTACATCTTAAACAAGCGTGTAAAATGAGAAATCAAGCATGCATCGAGTCGTGAAGCATCTCATGATAAGAGAGGAGAGATGAGAAATGAAAAGAAATCAAGACGACATTATGGGAGATCTACATGCAATGATTTGAGAGAATAAAAGAAGAGATAATAATGCAAGTTTTGCTAAGAGGCTCAAAGAAAATTAATATAGATAAATAGAAGTAAAAGTAGGGGAAAAAATGAAACTCTATTCAAATCGGATTTTTAACTTAGACCAAGTAACAAAACTGATTGCAGTCATTGGAATGACTTTAAGATAGCCAATACTCAAGCCGACAAAGAACCCACGGAAGCCTTGAGTGTTGAAGATAATTTGGGCGGTTTGAGTGATTGTCCGATGCGACAAAGGTCCACCAACTTGCATCTTTCGTCTGATGATTTCGAGTGGATATGAGACTGTTTGAGCTGCCATGCCTGCGATCGAGCCACATAACAAATTCACTACCACGTTGTCTCGGATCGTACTGGGCAGATGGATCGGTAGTTTTGATTGTAACGTCCCCCATACTAGAAATGATGTCCCTGCATATGGTACCATACCTGTTGAGGAGAAGAAAAAAAAAGAAATCAAGAATATATGTGCCTCAGTCTTTTTTTTTTTTTTTGATTGATCATCAAAAGCAACACAAGATGGATAGACTACACAACAACTGACCACAAATTGTAGGTGCAAAGCCTCTGTAGAACTTAGTGATTGGAAAGCGTTCGAAGAATTTGAGATCCCAACTGGATGGAGTCGACGGATTCTCGAAATAGAGGGACCTAGCCACGTCTCGTACCCTAATTGTTTCTGTCCTAGATTTCCGGATTTGGATGGCTGTTCTGACCCGAACGATCTCGAGTGGATAGGTCACGAACACGGCCATGACCCCGCTTAGGGCGCCGGCCGTAAACCTTCTCCCCGCTGTTTCTGCATTCACGTCGGGCATCAACGATTTGTGTAGGATATCGTATGACATGAATTTGATACCGGCATAGGGGAAAATCCTACATGTTGACAGAAATTTGATTTTGGATGTTAGTGTTGCTATTTCCAAGGGGTAGGGGGATCTCAAGCAGGCTTTCTTGAAACAGGACGGACCGAAATAAAGTGGCAGAGTGTCCTTGAACGAGTCCTCTGATTCCCGATTGATTCCAAATAGCGCCGATAGCCCGAAAGACCCCGCCGAGCGAGCCGCTGTATTTCGAGTAGTCCGGATTGCCGGTTTGGAAGAGTATCTTGACCCTATCGAGTGGAGAAACAAGGGTCTTGGCGAGACATCCTGCGATCCCACCGGCGACGCCTGACTTCAAATGGTTAAGAGTTATCGACCCTGTTGAGGTTGCTGAAGTCGAGTTGGGATGTTGTCGTCCAGTGGGTTGAGCTGTAGATGACCCGGTAGGACTGGGCAGTAGAGATAAGTTTCGAAACTCTCTTGAGCCCAGAAGATTCGATGAGTCCTGGTCGTCGTGAGTCGGGTTGAGCCTCCTGAGGGATCGAATGATGTCACAGCTGTCCATCCAATGCAGTTCATTCGATGCTGAGGTTGGGGTGGACTCTGATGGAACTGCCGGTGGAAGTCAGTAGGTGGTCAACTCCAAGCTCGCCTTGAACCTTGGTGGAGCCAAACACTTCACCCATTTCGTCACACTCGCCCACTCTTGCGCACGTCACTCCATATCTTTTTTTTTTTCTGGCTGAGCATTGAGCACACTCTTGTCGAGCGGACTGCACTCCGGTCACATGCAGGTAATTATCGGTCAACCGCTAAGACCATTGACATATTGTACACCTGATGATCTGCTGATAGCAAACACACACGATCTGTGAATCCTCTGGCATCTGTTTCAAGCCTGATGCTAGGAAATCTTTCCAGAGATTAAATGAGAAGAATGAGAAAAAAAAAAGAAAAAAAGGAATCATCATGGCTCATTCCTTCTCCTTTCTCTCTTGCATCAAATTTTCAATTCAAATCATCCTAGAAGACAATTATTGAGGGAGCTGAAGTGATAGCCACCTTGCAGGTTTTCTTGAAGGCTTCACTAAACACTCAATCCTGCAATTGAATTGCTTGGGATGCATGCACAGTGGGTAGCCAAGAGTTTTTGTCACTTTTTTTTTTTTCTTTTGAGGTCTCATCATAGGACTCAGGAGGCATCCTTGGCCCTTTGAGGCCCTGAACTGTGGGATTCAATTTTGAAAAGTGATCATCTCTCCTGGAGTTCTGTGTATAGATTAGTCAATTCCAGGCGGGAAAAACTGGCTTAGGGTGATAGTCATTTTCATGTTGTCAAAATTTGAGAAAGATAGATCCCGGAAAATTGTATTTTCTGATCATATACACCATGGGTCATGCCGGACAACCTTTGGCCGGTGAACTGGATGGTTGTCTGGCCAGTTTTCTGTGGCTCTGTGAGGAGCATCCTATGGATGGCACTTTGATAATTACCTTGAATTGGATTTTTTTTGGATAAACCATCCATTGGATGGTCTTCTGGCAGGGCAAAACCCAAAAAAATGACAAACACATTGATTGTGCTTGGACCCACAACCTGCCTGCATCACAAGGATACATAACAGAGGCCCTTACCAACTTGACTATATCAGATTTAACAGTCCAGCACCTGGATGGGATATAAGCCTAAATCTAATTTATGCAAAGCTAATTTTACGGCTTAATTTAGACTTTTGACCCCCCCAAGTCATGTGCATTTTGAGATGAATTTTTGACAATCAACTACATTTTAGCCTGTTTTTTCAACCATCAACCACCCCACCTGTAAATTGAAAATTGGGCACTTTCAAAAGTGTCCATTGGACACTCTCACACTCTCAATCAAGAGTGTCCAATGGATGGTTATTTTCTACCATCCAGAGGATGGTCTTGACCACCAGGTATCACTTGGATGGTTTCAGAAGCATCCAAGTGATGCTTGGGGCACCGGAGCATCCCTTGGATGCTTTCATAGCGTCCAAGGGACACTCTTGCTCAGAAAACGACCATCGGATGTATAGGTTTTCTAAAACCCGCCCTGTGGTGTAGTCATACCCTAGCCAAATTGGTGAAACCACATGCCTACCCACTTGTCTGTCCTTCAGAAAAGTGCTGATAAATGCTGGTAGTCTAGTATGCTTCTACCAAAGCTCTGTGGTAAGCTTGTAGCTACTCTTCTACCACTACAGCACACAACACATGTTCTAAACCACACCCTGCTTCAAAAATTAAATTGGGTTTGTGGGGAGTGATTTTGGGTGTCCAATTGTGCACCTAACCTATGTCCTATGAATCTTGTGAGTATATAGCTTTAGCACTGTGGTAAATATTGCTGTGTTTCTACACAGAAGATATAAAAATTAATTCTTATATCTTTATGACCAAAAGATAGGGTAAACATAACATCAAAAATGGATTCCCTGGGTAAAATAACCCCCCACCACAACTGCCTCCATATCTCTCACACTTTAGAAGTTACACAGATTTCAACCTGTCACGGGATATCTCTTGGATTATTTACTGTGACTACAACTCATTTTGATGACTGGATGTGTATTGGATATTGAATTCCTTTGTTTCATATTGAATCTCTTTATTAGTTCATAGCAACGGTGAAACAATGTGATGTGATGCGATAAATAGTCATGTATTGGTATCACATTGAAAAAGTGATGCATTGCATTGGCATTGTATTGGAAAGCAATGCAAACCAATGCCACCAAATTAGAGTGCATTGCATCACATTGCTTTCCCAATGCGATACTGATGCACTGTATCAAAGAATCCAATGCAAGCAATGTGATGCGGGGCCCCGCATTGCTCTCTCAATGCAATGTGATACAGGCCCAATATGATGTGATACCTATGCATGCATTGCATCAGTTAAATTGTTGCTCACAGTGCATATTATATTCCTTTGTAGGTGCACATGCATTCCTTTGTAGTACACCCGTGGAGAGGCTGGCCAAAATCTCACAAGGCAGTGCTCTCCCTAGCTAATATCCCTCACCTGCATGCATTAGATCAGATAAATTAACACATTGGATCTTCAGGCCTGCTAAAATACCTCAGAAGCATGTACCTTGTCAGCCAGTATGAAAAGAAAGGCACACCCTAGGAGGTTTATTGACCTTCTCCGCTCCGCAACACTCCTCTACTCCGATTTGTAGTCTGGGGTAACATGCTTGATGGTCGTTGTGGTGTTGAGAGTGTGTTGGGGCCAAAGCTTTGAGCGGGTGTGGAATGCACACAGGGGATGAGGAAAGCATGTGGAGCTGATGCTACATGTGCAGGCTGAGGAAAGCTTCTGCCTGCAGGAAGAAAGTCAAGCTTTACAAGGTGTGGGAAAGTGCATGCGGAGTGGGATCAAATGCACAAAGCTGCAAAAGCTTACTGCAGGGAATCCAGGCACTGGCGGACTTCAGGGTTCACGGCTGGCTGCAGGCCAGGGCTAGTGCGTACTGTAGAGGGGCCAAGAGGGGGTGGGGGCACCGAGAGGCAGAAGCAGGGTTTGGAACGGCCGGACCAGAGTAGGGGTGAGGATGGGTCGGGTTGACCCGAACCGGCTGCAATCTGGGTCAGGTCGGGGCGGCATCAGGCAGAATTTAAAGATTTTTTGACCTGGCTGGGTTGACACAGAAGGTGACCCATGGTGGGTCGGGTCAGACTTTTCCCCAAATGGATTGCCCATGGGTCGACCCATGAAGAGGTCAAGTTTCAACATGAAACTGGTTACTTATCTGAGTCCAAAGGTTGAAACACAGGATCTGAGACACTCAAGAGTGTGGCCATGTAGACTCAATCTGGAAGTCTTCACCTGTGCTCCCTCCTCAAGTCCTCCTCTAGGCTTGCCGCTCTATTGATATCTATTTTGAATATCTCGAACTCCATTTATTAGTGTTGATAGCATTCCTTTCTTTCATCCATCTCATTATGGCCTCCCAATCTAATCAAGCTTCAGTAGATAATGCTGCAAACGCAACCACTAACACCAATAATACTCGAACCAATGACAACCACAACTCAAAGAAAAGAAAATCAACTAGCGAAGTCTGGGAGCATTTCACTAAGGATGGTAAGAAGGATGATGAAGGTGAAGTGAAAGCGGTCTGCAACTACTGTAAGAGTTCGCTTTCTGGAAAGTCCACTTCTGGTACTGCCCATCTGTGGAAGCACTTGGACCGCTGCAAGACTTATCAAGATTCCAATCGCTTGTCCAAACAATCGTTGCTCTTGGTTAAGAATGGAAGCATGGCTCAAAACTCCTGGCAGTACTCCGAAAAAAAAGCAGAGATTTGCTCATCAAGACAATAGCGGCGCATGATTACCCATTTAGGATGGTTGAGCACAAATATTTCAAGCTTTTTGTTGCGTCGCTGCATCCGCATTTCAAGTTGAAATCTCGCTTCACAGCCAAGGACAATTGCATGGCCCTCTTTCAATCCATGAAAGGCAATCTTCTCAAGGAAATCTTACAAGCTAAGCGCCTTGCTCTGACAACTGATCTCTGGAGCTCTCGAGACGCTACTGGATTTATGGTCATCATCGCACACTTCATCAATGAAGCTTGGAAGTTGGTCAAACACATCATATCCTTCAAGGAATTGCCTTCGCCTCACACTGGTCCTGCTATTGCCGATTGGCTGGTGCAGAGCTTGGTTGAATGGAAATCTATAACGAAGTGCGCTTTCATTACAGTAGACAACGCTTCGTCAAATAATGTAGCTGTAACTCGATTCAAAATGATAGTCTCCGATTGTAGTTCAAAGGCTTTGGAGGCAGATGGGCAGTTCTTTCATGTTTGCTGTGCTGCCCATATAATTAACTTGATTGTGAAAGATGGACTTGCAGTGATTCTTGATGCTGTCCAAAAGCTTTGTCAATCTGTCAAGTACACCAAAATTAGTCAATCCCAAGTACAACTATTCAAGATGGCAATTGAAACTTCCAGCATCAGCCTCAACTTCCTACCATTGAAGGATGTTGCAACCCGCTGGAACTCGACTTTCCTCATGATTAAATCCAGTCTTCCGTTCAGAGAGGCATTTGAAAACATCGCTTCTACAGATTCCAACTATGAAGATTGTCCAAGTCCTGAAGAATGGTCACAGCTATCTGCCATGAAGGACTTCTTAGAGCTATTCTACAAAAGTAAGTTTTGATTGGCATTAGTTGGTAGATCTCTTTCTTCAGATTTTGACTCATGTCTTCTCAATGATATGTAGCTACCGTTGATTTATCAGCTTCAAGGTATCCAACCTCTCAACTGATATTTAAATCAATGAAGAACATCGAGCGCCACTTATTAAAAGGACAAACATCTACAAGTAGTCACATCCAAAAAGTTGTTGACCCGATGCTTGCCAAATTTCACAAGTACTGGGTAGAAATGAAGGTCTTTGCCGCCATTGCGCTTGTCTTCAACCCTCGATCAAAGATGTCTTACATTGAATTCAAGCTAGAAGACAACCCCGGTGAGATTGAGAACATTCGAGTTGCTTTGTTCTCATGGTACAACGAGTACATTACTGCTTACAAGAAAGAAAAACCACCACCCCCCAAAAGTGAGAAGGCTACAGACAATGAAATTGTCTGCGTTGAAGACCAGGATAATATCTATTTTGAGCAACACCTTGCCAAAACCAAAGGTATTGGCTCAACAGGGAATCCAACCGGCGAGCTTGATCTTTACCTCAAAGA